ATGCATATAAGCATGCTAAGTAGCTTCAGTAGGTCTAACTCTTAGTGACCCTATAGACTGTAGCCCTGTAGCCCTTTAGACCCTATAGACTGTAGCAGGATCCTTTCTCAGTGGAATTTTCCAGGTAAGAATACTGGAGTGAGTTGCCGTGCCCTTTTCCAGGGAATCTTCCAGACCCAGGGTTTGAACCTGCATCTCGTGTCTCCTGCATTGGCAGGCCGGTTCTTTACCACTAGTGCCACCTGGGAAGCCCCCACACATGCATTGCCTCCGATTATCAACATATTCCCTATCAAAGTGGTACATTCGTTACAGTTGATGAACTTACATGGACACATCAAGATCACCTAAAGTCTCAAGTTTACATTAGGATTCAGTGTTGCTCATTCTGCTGTTCATTTCATCAAATGTGTAATAATATGTGTCCATCCTGATGATATCATGCAGGATATTTTTCACCATCCTAAAAATCCTATTGTTCTGCCTGTTCATCCTTTCCTCTGATTAATTCCTCAAGGCAGTGATTTTTCCAGCAGCACTTCTGCTAAAATTGGATCCACACTGGGAAGATTTCTACAGCTCTGACACTCCAAAGATGGACACATCTACGGAGAATTTTGTCGTTTTTGTAAAGAGCGGCAGTGTCGATTAATTAATAGAAAGAGAGGAAGCCAGGAATTCTAGGCTTTGGCTCCCAGAAGCAACATCCCCTTATAACTTTCTTCAAAGTGAAAATGTTCAACTTGAGCAAATATTTTCAAATTGTGCTATTGTTTGTCAGTGACCTAAGAATTCTTGAGAGATGCCTTCAACTGACAAAGTGTGTGTGTGTGTGTGTGTGTGTGTGTGTATTTAGAGGATAGGCAAAAAGGGAATGAGAGAAAGACTGTTCCTCCCATGGGAGAGGAGTTTAGGGGAAAATGGATACATGTGTATGTATGGCTGACTCCCTTTGCTGTTCACCTGAAACTACCACAGTGGTGTTAACTGGCTGTGTGCTAAGTCGCTTCAGTCGTGTCCAACTCTTTGCGATCCAGTGGACGGTAGCCCACCAGGTTCCTCTCCCACAGGATTCTCCAGGGCTGTTTACCACTGGAGCCCCCTGGGGAGCCCCCCTAGTTCACTATGTGTGCTGCGTGTGCTAAGTTGCTTCAGTCATGTCTGACTTTGCAATCTCATGAACGGTAGCTGGCCAGGCTCCTCTGTTCACGGTATTCTCCAGGCAAGAATACAGGAAGGGGTTGTCATGCCCTCCTCCAGGGGATCTTCCTGGCCCAGGGATCAAATCCGAGTCTCTTGAGTCTCCTGCATTGGCAGGTAGGTTCTCTACCACTAGCACCACCTGGATATACCCCAATACAAAATAAAAAATTTTAAGTTTGGAAGAAAAAGAAAAGGACCGTTCCTTCCAGCCCTTTCAACCAGAATAGTTCCATGTCAGTTATGCGGATAGAAAACAAAACCCTTTCTATTTTTTTTCTTTTTTTGTCTTTTGGTTGGTTTTTAAGAATGTTACTCTCTTTCAGAAGAAAATTTGAACAAACTGCAAAGTTCAATGATCTCAATGGCCCTTCCAGTACTAACATTCGTTCCACGGTTCTAAGTTCCTTCACTTCTTGATTGAATGTTTCACCTAGCTCAGACGGCATGTGGGCTAAGAGGATGCAGGGCTCTGACTGGTGTGAGGGCAGCAACGGGCAGGTCTGTGCCCACCCTCAGTGCCCCTCCCTTGGCATCATCTCCTTCCTGTCACCCCAAGCTCTGGCTGCCTGGCTCAGAGAAGCCACCACTCAGGAGGAGGTCTTTGGAGAAGGACTGGAGAGATGCAGAGCTTCGTGGTAGTATAATTCATTGAAAAAATGTGTGCTCAGTTACTCAGTCATGTCCCACTCTTTATGACCCCATGGACTGTAGCCTGCCAGGCTCCTCTGTTCATGGAATTTTTCAGGCAAGAATACTGGAGTGGGTTGTCATTTCCTTCTCCACAGGATATTCCCAACCCAGGAATTGAACCTGTGTCCCCTGCATATCCTGCAGTGGCAGGCAGATTCTTTACCACTGTGCCACCTGGGAAACCCAACTGAAAAAAATACCCATTTCTTATAGTGAACTTGGGGTTTCCCAGGTGGTGCTAGTGGTAAAGAACCTGCTTGCCAATGCAGGAGACATAAGAGACATGGGTTCAATCCCTAGGCCAGGGAAATCCCCTGGGATAGAAAATGGCAACTCACTCCAGTACTCGTGCCTGCAGAATCCCATGGATTGAATGTAAGGAGATATCAGAAGATGTGAGGCAGACACACAAACGGAGAGCCATCAGACTATGTGTAAGTGCTTTGGGAGTGCTTGGAAAATGATGTTATGGCACTTCAGAGAGAAGGCACTGAACTTAGTTGCTGGGTTTAGGAGACTTCCTGTAGGGGGAGATACCCAATAGGGGGAGATACCCAAACTGAATCTCCTTCACCCCAGAGAGCACTGCTGCGATCATACTTAAGGAAAAACCTTTTATCAGTTATTTATGAAAGGTTTTTTTTTTCGGCCTTGCCTCATGTTTTGCAGGGTCTTAGTTACCAGCCAGGGATCGAACCCAGGCCCAAGCGTGAAAGCCACAATCTCTAACCACTGGACCACCAAGTAATTCTCTTTATGAAAGATTTTTAGCTCAGACTTTTGTATATCTTTGCTGGCTGCTTTCATACCATTATGTAGTATTAATAGCTACTCTTCATTAAGTTCTAAGCATAGTGCTAAGCACTTTACATATAATTCCACATTTAATCCTCACAATAATCTCATGAGACAGGCAGATATTAATACCTTTGCATTGGAAATTTTTATAGAAAATGTCGAGTCCATACAAAACCCTTTTTCTTTTTTGAAGTATAATTAGTTTCATTATACTCATCACCATATAAACAGTTATCAATTCAGAGCCAGTGGTGTTTCATCTGTGTCTCATACATTTTCTGATGTCAAGAGTATGCTGAAGTTATTTCCGACATGATGTCTTTTCTGTACAGAGTTGAGTGTGTTAATCTAAAAGATAACAAACAATTGTAACCACAAGTCTGCTGATGGCTAAGATGGGGCTACAGGAACTAGATTTACCCTTCTGCCTGAAACAACCAAAAGGAAAAAAGGCAAAATATGTGAAATGGTGTTTTCAAGGCACTGGACATCAAACAGTGAAGGACAGTGCTACGTGAGATATGAGAAATAGATGAGGTGTGTCCTCCTTCAGCCGAGTTATCTCCCAGAGTCCAGGTGTGGCACAGCGGGGAGAGAAGCAGGGTGGGCTCCCGGAGCAGTTTCTGTAGAAGTGAGCATTTGACTGTGAAGTTCAAACGGAAATGCAAATGGCTCAAAATAGCCCAAGCAACTTTGAAACAGAAGAGTCAAGTTGGAGGAGTAGGACTACCTGATTTTGAACTTATTATAAAGTTACAGTAATGAAAACAGTACCATATTGGCACCATTATAGGCAAATTGATCAGTGGATCAAAACAGAGTGTCCAGAAATAGACATATCATGTATATGATAACTGATTTTTGATGAGGCACAGAGGAAATGAGTGGAGAAAGGATAATCTTCAACAAGTGGTAATGGAGCAAGTAAATATCCATATGAAGAAAATGAAGTTTGGTGCATTGTGTACAATATACAAAAAAATAACTCCAAATGAATCATAGATGTAAATTTAAAACCTAAAACAACACAACCTCTAAACCTCTGGAACACAGGAGATTTTTATGACCTCGGGTTAGGCAAAGTCTTCTTAGGTATGACATCAAAAGCATAATATGCAAAAATAAAAAATTGACAATTTAGATTTCATCAAAATTTAAGACAGGTGATCTTTGAAAAATTCTGTTAAGAGGATGGAAAGACAGTCTGCAGCCTAATAGAAGATGTTTGCAAATCATGTATCTGATAAAAGACTTGGTCATACATATATTCAAGTCACTTCACCAAAGGAGATGTAGATATATTGAGATGGCCAAAAAATTTTGCTGATTTTTCCATAAGATGTTACAGAAAAACCCAAATGAACCTTTTGGCCCACCCAATAGATACAGATATAGTCATTGAAAAGTAGAGCTTGAAAAATTGCTTAACATCATTAACCATTTCGTGCATGCTCAGTCACTGAATCATGTCTAGCTGTTTGTGACCCAGTGGACTGTAGCCCGCCAGTCTCCTCTGTCCATTGGATTTCCTGGGCAAGAATAGGGAGATGTAAATTAAAACTAGAGTGTGATACTACTAAAAACCTAAAAAAGATGGACAATGAAAAGTGCTGGTGAGGACAGAGATCTTTATCTAGTACGCAAGCTGGAGACAGTTCCCTGAACACATTTCTGGTTGCATTGTTTTGCCAACAATAGCAGGGTATTGAGGGCAGGAGTAGGGGGCGACAGAGGATGAGATGGTTGGATGGCATCATCAACTCAATGGACATGAGTTGGAGCAAGCTCTGGGAGATGGTGAAGGACAGGGAAGCCTGGCGTGCTGTAGTCCATGAGGTGGCAAAGAGTCGGACACGACAGCAACGACAACAACGGAGGCTCAGATCTAGTGCGTGAGTAACAGAACCCCACCTGAGGGAGCCTTGTGAAAGAAGGCAGAAAGGGAGGCCTGCAAACTGGGATGCACCCCAGCAGGACACATTTTCTTACCTGGACTGTCAGTGTCCATAGTTCAAACCCCCATCATGAGTTGCAGTTTGATATTGCAACTCATCTGCTAAAAATGGGAGGGAAATGAAAGGGGGAGAAATATTGGATACATTGTGGAGGAATATTGGATGTTGTCCTTCTGGTGAGGATGACCTAGAAGTGTCAGGAAAAGGTCAGAAGTATTTTTAAACAAGCAAAACAATAAATCGATTGTTTAAAAAATGACGATAAGTTCTTATTTCTGATCAATAACTTAACACTATGAATAATAAAGCATTTAATAATGAGTATTCAAATTCAACAGCTGCATTCGTAGCCAGAGAAGCACACAGGCAGGATTCAAGCCATGGAACTGAGAACTGCACAGATTTTAACCGTTCGGGACACATTTCGTTGTAGCCTGCTGCCCTTCCTGTTCGTCCTTGGTCAGAGCTGTGGGGTTGCTTGCAGTCCCTTTAACCATCTGGTGCCTTCATGTTCTCCTCTGCAAAACAGAAACACATTTTTTTTTTTTTGTTCTCAAAGAGCATACTAGAGGTCTAACATATATTCCTTAAGTGAATTAATAGACTGATTTCTTCAATGCTTAAGTGCTATCACAGGTCACATCAATGACCATTATCTTCCAGGGACTCTAAACCCTACAGAGGATGTAAACTACTTCCTGACTCCAACTGTAAAAACCAACTTCCTCATTTCAGTGGAAATGACACCATTAGCAACAAGTCAATACCATAAAACATGCATTTCCTAATACTGACATATTTTTCAAAATTTCTCAGTGCTTTTTCCATTATTCCCTAAGTTGGAATGAATTTCAACAACCTCCTACCTGGTACTGCTCTCTACACTGGAACAAAGTGAAGCCTTGAATGACTTGCTTATATATGTCACATAGACATAGATCCTGGGACTACTGATATTTCTTCTCCCCAAGAGGAGGGATTAGCAGAATTGCCATCCTCAGTTAATCCTAGGATAAAGTTAAGTATCTAATACTCCATTAAGGGAGCTTCCCAGGTGGCACAGTGGTAAAGAATCCACCTGCCAATGCAGAAGACTCAAGAGACACGGGTTCAATCCCTGGGTTGGGAAGATCCCCTGGAGTAGGAAATGGCAACCCACTCCAGTATTTTTGCTTCGAAAATTCCATAGACAGAGGAGCCTGGCAGGCTACAGTCTGGGGCCGAAAAGAATGAGACATGATTGAATGACTGAGAACACAATACTCCATTAAACATAATCTTGGTAGCAGGTGGCAGGTGTGTGAATCTGTTGTAAAAATTGACTGAGGGGATGGTAGGAGTCATAGTGATAAAGGAGTTTGGCCACCCAGATTGCTTGAATCTTCCATCACTTGAATTATCTTGAAGTACTACAAATTCAACAGGGAGGATATATTAAAGAGGAATGTGCAGAAGGTTTGTCTAGCCCTGAAGGTAAGGTGTTAATGGCTACATACAGGATGACTTCAATTTCCAAAAGCCACTGTAGCTGGGAACAGTGGGGATGAAGATTTGGGGGTGGGGGAATGAGCTGAAAAGCTTTCATGCAAATCTCTGCCTTTTGGGAGACACATCCCACCAAGCCAAACCTGGTGATACTTGGATTGAGGAGGGGGCAGTTTTTGAAAAGTAAGATAGGTGCCAGTTCAATGGAACAAAAAAGCTATTTCCAGAATATGAAATTTTAAAACAAAATGAGAGAAGATGTGTACCTGGGGTTTCTAGCTTATATTCACAGAAGTTACACATCTGCTGCTTGAAATGTATACCATCTCAAACAGATATCCACGTCGGAATTCCAGTTAATAGACAGGAAGCTCTGCCTCCATGTTTTATTTGCCTTCTGGGTTGGTGATTATACATGCAGTTAGGAGATTAGAGCTGGTCATCCTTAGCCATATCCGTGATCACTAATCATAATCCCTGAACAAGAACAATTATAGGTCAGAATCATAGAACTTTAGGGACCTCCTGAACAGAGTTTCTAGCCTTGACACTACTGATATTTAAGGTGCAATAATTCTCTTTGTGAAGGACTGTTCTGGGCAATGCAGGGTGGTTAGCAGCATCCTTGGTCTACCCGCTAGATGCCAGTAAAGAGCTCCCCCGTGGTGATTACCAATAATGTTTCAAGATGATATCAAATACCCTTGGGGGTGGGGATAAAATCACCCCTGGTTGAAAACCACTGCCCTAGGACACTGTATACAATCCCCTTACACCCTGTGTGCATAAAAGAATGAAAATAATTATGTAGGACAAAAAGTAAACTGGAAGGAATCTGAGAATAATTTTATGTAAGGTTCAATGAAAAAAGTCATGACACTTTATACATTTATAGGAAAAATATTATATAAAGTATTAAATATTTAAATTTATATAAAAATTCTAAATGAAATCATTTCAAAACTCTGAGCAATTTGAACTTACTTTCAGTGACATATCTTTTTACAGAATATATTAAGCTTTAAATGGTTTTATACAATGCTGATCAAGATATTTTAATGATGATCACTTAAAATTTTTAGTAGTCTCTACCAGCAAGAAACTTCAGTCATATAAGCAGATGATGCAAAACATTTAAATCATTGTTTACATTCAATAGAAGATTTATAACTTTTGAAATTAAAGAACTTAATAGCTTATCCTTTTCTTATACAAATAATGTCTTATGATAAAGCCAAAGTATTTCAAATTTGAACTTTTATCTATCTTCTGTTTCAAAATAACAATAAAGGTTGAGTTTCTATATTGCATATATACTCTATGAGCACATTTTCACCAGCAGCCAGCATGAAAACCACTAAACAGACTTCTTGTCCATCAGCTGCAGGTGGACAAGAGAATCTGATACATGTGAAGACAGAAATCCTGGGTTACCATTTGTCTCTGAAGAGACCAGAAAGCCCCACCAATTTCTGCACTTATCTATCCCCAGCTAGCTGCATCTTGGCCTAAGCTCCAAGCTCTGGAGCTTGGATCTGGCAATAAACTCCCTGCTGGTCTTCAGACTTTATCTAGGATGGTTAGTGATATTCTGAATACAACTGTTGAAATTTTCAGGCTGAGGAGCACTTTCTTGGCTGCATTCAGGGCCTCATGGTGAAGCAACACATGGTAAATACGTCACAATGTGCTAGTTGCCGTCTCTGGAGACTATGAGGGTGGTCCTTGAACCACCCTGCTAAGATCACTCCACAAAGAGTGGTGAGAAGACCCCTTTTAGTTAGAGGCACCTGGCTCCAGAGCCTGTTACTGCAAGCCCCACCAGGCACTTGAGTGTTGAGAGACTAACTCACAGCGTACTTGGAATCCGTTTGTGGCACTCCACTGTAGCGCACCTTGTAATGTGGCGCACAGCTTGGGAAAAGCTCTGCCTTAGAGACTTCTTCCTGGTTCCAGGTGAGTACCCCGTGGCTCAGAGAAGGGTGTGAGTCACCCCAGGTCACAAGTTAATGACAGAGCTGGGGCCGGAAGCTAACTCTCTGGCTCCTGGTACCACAGCCATGTAGCTCCTTCATTTCTTGTCATTTCCCCCCTCTCTGTCTTCCTTCTTCCCAGTGACTCATTCACCACAAATCCCTCATGGGACCAGCCTACTAGTTACAGATGTTGGCTTATTCAGCACCTACCATGGAGAAGGCAGTGTTTCTCAAGCTTTGACACACATGAGAAAGGAAATTTAAAAGGCGGGTGTGTTTTACTGCTGCGTCTCTGTGAAGAAAGTTGCAGCAGGAAGAGAGGAGGGTGAAGATTTACAGCAGAGAATATGAGGCAATATTTGCATTGTACTCCCTCTAGTATCTTTGGCTGGGTCTTATGGTGAGCAGTAGATCTTGGTGACCTTGTAAGGAGACACTGTGACCCAAAGGTTACAAAAATCCAAGAGGTCAAAATAACACATCATTTTATCTGAGGAAAAAAAATGGAAATAATTTTAAGTGCTGGAAGGGACATGCAGTGGTTTCCAAACTCCAGGGTGCACGAGAAGCTCATTAGAAACTTGTTTAACCTATTTTGGCAAGTAATTCTAAATCAGTTGGTTTGGACTGAAGCCTACAGATCTGCACTTTAACAAGCACTCTGAGATTATCTGATTGAGAAATGCTGAGACAGAAGTAAGGCCGTAGAGCTTGATTGCATTATATAATGGGGACATTGCAAAAGGTGAGCGGAAATGTTCTATCTTTTTAATTTAAACAGTTCTTGTTTCTCTTAGGTAACTCATATTTAGGATATTCATGTTGTAAATTATTTTTTAGAGTTAAAAAAAATCCCTCTCCTCTCCCTTTCTGCTTTTATCCATTTTGAAGCTGGGAAAATGTTTTTTGCTGTTTTCCCTTGAATGAATGCAAGCTATTTATATAAAAACCCCATTACAAGTAGAATAGCCAAGCCGCAAGCTTCCCTGGTCTTCTGAGTCTTTGACCCTTCTCTGTGCACCCCAAGAGCAAATACCTGTTAAGACTCCCCTTGTTTTAGGCAACCTGACTCGACTCACTTCTGCTATATTCCCCACTCTGTCCCCAGAAAAAGGGAGGTGGACAGTGAAAGAACAGGATAGAGGAGGTGTTGCTAGTGAAGGCCTATCAGAATGCAGGATGTGGGAAACCTCAGAACACTGCTCACCAGTTACGGTAGAGGTGTTACCCCAGGAAACCGCACACTAGAGTCCATAATGTAAGCCCAGAAATGGGCTTATAAACACATTTTTACCTTGAGTTAATAATTTTCTTCTCAAAGTTCTTTTTTTATTAAAATATATTTATAAATATTTATTTGACTGTGCTGTGTCTGACAGGACAGGTAGACATCAGCTTGCTGGAATTCTAAGGCAGCCACACCAACATCCATTATGTCTTAGCCTTTCCACCACCTCACTTTGAAAGTGAGGAAATAGTACCTTCCATGCAATACCCAGCCCTCAGATATCAATCTTGAATGGCAGGGCAGAACAAGTCAGGCCTGTGAGTTAGAAGATCTCATCCTCAATACAGGTGACCTTGGGAAAGTCACTTGACCTCTTTAAACTTATTTCCACATCTTCAAAACAAAATCAAATGGTCAAATAATCTCTAAGACAGATGACTCTCAATCTTTTAATAGGAATTAAGGATGACTGGGAAGATTTGAGTATAAAAATGGGTTTGGTATAATACAGGTTCATCATATTAAATACAAATAAGAATGAACACATCTTAACATATTTGTATAAGAAATAGAGGAACTAATCAGTTTATACATTCAATTTCTTTCTATTTTTCAAGCAGGTAGTTTTAGTAAAATATTCTACCTTGGTGTACAAGTATGATTAAACTGTTTGAATTTCATAAAAGAAAAATCACTTGGGGTTAAAATGAATACTCATGGGGATCTTGGTCCCTATTATTCTGATATAGTAGGTTGAAATAAGGCACAGGAATCTGATTTTTTAACAAGCACCCAAGTAATTCTGGTAGAAGTGGTCTGCAGAAAACACTTTCAGAAATACTGAGAGAGTGAGGGCCCCTTCTGCTCATATTGTGTGGATTGTTCATCTCTCCCTGTAGTTAAACAATCACCAAGCGTTAGTGATTACTCAGGCAAATTATCTGCCTCATCCATCCATTTCCTTTAATGCCACAGCAAAACCAGTTTTATGTAAGGATGATAGCAATGACTTCTGATTTGAATTCCTGATTCCATTATTTTGTCTTTCATGTCCTATTATTAGAGTCTGCATATATTCTTAACATCTCATCAGAACTACACAAAGGGGACTGGTTGTCTGTAGGATGAAACCCAAACTTCTTAATCAAGCAAGTGTCTCCACGTCTTTGTCTTCCATGGGACTTAGGAATGCTCTGGGCTAAGAGAATCTGACTGCTGAGTCTCCTGAATGAGCCTGTGTGTAATCATTAACAAAGCTTTGCTCACAACATGATTTCCTCCTTAAACTCTCCTGTTGACTACTCTGTACCCACTGTCTAAATTCTATTCAATTTTGAAGAACAGCTTTAAAGTTTACCTCCTTTAGGATGTCTTTTCTGACCACCCCTTTGATTTCTTTAGCTAGCCCAACACGACGAAATGATCATTGTAACATTTCTCCCTACATTGTGCATCTCGGTCTCCTCACCTGCCTTGAGCACAGTGGCATCTCCTAGTAGTTACGTGTTTCTGTATCCTCCCCAGGCTGTGCGCAGAGCTGGTATTCGACACAGACTTACTGTACATCCTTTTCCCACAGAATGCATTCTCTGTTTAAACAACAAAGCTAGTATGCACTTGACTGAGCCAATTAACTTCTGACATTTTTCTCTGTTGGCAAAATACAAGAACCAAAACAGGATACTCCTCATCCCAGGATGTTACAAGAAAGCATTTATTCAAAATGATTAATTGTTGACCAAGAAACAAAATGAACAGGTGTATCTGCCTGCTTGGATTAAGAAAGCTTCCTCTAAGTAATAACACAAGCCCTTTCCTCTCTGTGAAGGATTTCCTGGCATCATCAGATGTATTTGTTGTTGTTAATGTAATAACATTTATAGAACATTATAAAGAACCGTATATATTATGTTACGTAATTTTCACAACCAGCTTATGTATTGTGTGTATGTGCTGTGCTCAGTCATGTCTGACTCTTTGTGACTCCACGGACTGTAGCCCGCCAGGTTCCTCTGTCCATGGGGATTTTCCAGGCAGGAATACTGGCGTGGGTTGTTATTTCCTACTCTAAGGGATTTTCCCAACACAGGGATCGAATCTGCATCTCTTGTATCTCCTGAATTGGCAGGCACGTTCTTTACCACTGCGCCACCTTGGAAGCTCACCTTATGTATTAATCATTATTATCTTTATTTTATAGATGAGGAAATTGAGGCTTAAGAGATTAAGCAGTTCAACAAAAATCACCACCTAGTGTCAGAGCCAGAATTTGTACCTTGGTCAGTCTGATCTCAGCATTTGGACATTACATTATTTTGTTAACCTAACACCTTATGGACCTAACATCACAGCGTCTTTTAGTTGTTGCTTGCAGGTTAGTTATCTGGAGAAACTCTAAAATTTAATGCTTGGTGCATAATAGGTGCTCAGTGAAACCTGAGTAAATGCAGACTGAAAGGGAAGATAAGAATGTGACAGATTATAATATGTTTCAGGACAGGTGGTTATGACAAGTGCTAATAAGTGGCCTCAATCATATGAGAGGCAGAAGACGGAGGAAGACTCTTCTTCAGATGCCATCAGGAAAGGCTGCATGGAGGAGATTACCTTTGAGATAACAATGCCCCTTTATCTGAGGGTCCCTTCCTCAATACCCTTGGCCTGTACAAGCCAACGTGGTGTGCACAGCATGGGGTCCTCAATCACTTAATTATTCGGCTGATCTATGTGTCACTTGGGTCCTTCGCTGCAACCACATGAACCCACCCTAACTAGCTTAAGTAAAAAAGGAATTTACTGAGAATCTTAGGGAGCTCACAAGATCTCCAGGGGGTAAGGGGCAAAAAATCAGGATGAGGTGCTATTCAGCCAGAAAGAACACCCAGACACCCTGCAGATTAGCTGTTTATACCTTCATGACTGGGGACTACTACCTCAGCCTACAGTGATGATGTTAGATCAAGAATGTCAGAGCTCAGCCAATGCTGTACTCCAAGCCTGGGCACTCCAGCCACCTTTTTGTTAAAAGATGGAGCCCATGGGAGGTCTGCATCATCACATTGCTCTCTTCCTAATCAAAGAGCATGAGGTTGCTAGGGGAAATGCAGATTTATGTATGGACATTTGAGCTTCAGTTCAGTTCAGTTCAGGCGCTCAGTCGTGTCCGACTCTTTGTGACCCCATGAACTGTAGCACGCCAAGCCTCCCTGTCCATCACCAATTCCCAGAGTTCACCCAAACTCATGTCCATTGAGTCGGTGATGCCATCCAACCATCTCATCTTCTGCCATCCCCTTCTCCTCCTGCCCTCAGTCTTTCCGAGCATCAGGGTCTTTTCAAATGAGTCAGCTCTTCGCATCAGGTGGCCAAAGTATTGGAGTTTCAGCTTCAACATCAGTCCTAC